GATGAAAAGTCACAGGGTGCGTCCACTGCACAACGGCCGCCGAGACAAAATCCTCGAGAGTACACGGAAAGTTGACCAGCTCGGCCTTGAACCTCCGCCCCGCCAAGGTGGACACCACGTAGGTCTGTGTCATGCCCTGCACCAGCTCCGCCCAGTCCCGACAGCCGTAGGCGTCACTCTGGTCACAGCGGTAGATCACGTATCTCGTCTCGTCCACCGTTATATTCTTCTCCGCCGCCAATTTCACTCGAGCGGACAACCACCGCGGCTGCCATTTCTTGAAGCGGTTCCGGAAATTCCCGAACTTGGAACCTTCGTCCGCGACTTTCTCCGACTCCATCATCAACGACCGGATGTGGTTCCGAGCGGGGTCAAGAGGTCGGTTCTTCCGGCGGATGGACAACTTGCTTACCGCGTCGTCGTCAATGTCTACGTCATATTGCAGAGAGATGAAGCCCGTGAAAAACACGAAGACGACGAAGATGAAGACGATGAAACGGCGGGCGATCCGGGAGGCTCTCATGGTGCTCGGAAATTCTCTGTCGGAAAAAAAAAAGATTTATTTTAATACAGTCTAGCAGATGTATAGTAGGCCTATATTGTACATTGTAAATTCTCTGTCTAAAAAAAGATTGACTTAGTTTTTACACAGTTTAGACGACAAAAAATATATTATATGCTGTAAATTCTCTGTCTGAAAAAAAGATTGATTTATTTTAATACAGTCTAGCAGATATATTATACATTGTAAAAATTCTCTTTCTAAAAAAAAGTGACTTATTTTCACACAGTCTAGCAGACAAAGAGTATATAATATACTGTAAATTCTCTATCGGAAAAAAGATACGACTTATCTTAAAACAGTCTAGCAGACATACAGTATAATTATACACTGTCAATTCTCTAGATCTGTCTGAAAAAAGATTGGTTTGTTTCAATACACAGTCGTACATGCATAGAAATGGTGCTCGGAAATTCTCTATCTGAAAAAGAATGACTTTTTCCAATAAACAGCTCAGCACACTTGTTATAGTATAAAACAGATCTAGTGAGACGATTCTCGTAAATTTTCTATCAGAAAAAGATTGTTTTTAAAAAAAGTTTTAGTAGAGGCTTTACGGCGCTCGCAACTGCATACGGTCATATGAGCGCCAGAAGATTAGAGGTGTTGCAAGAGAGTAACAAATATAAAAAAGAAGAAGGGGAGATAAGGACGATAGATTTTGATAAGAAAGAAGAAGCAAACCACACCAGAGCACCCGCCAACCACTAACAGAGATAGAGAGAACTGACATGGTTGTCTAAATATACAGAAAACTGACATGGTTGTCAATATATACAGAAAACTGACGTTGAGTGGCTAAATATACAGAAAACTGACATGTTGACGAAATAGACAGAAAACTAACTAAAATATACAGAAAACTGTCATGGGTGGTTAAATATACAGAAAACTGACGTTGGGTGGCTAAATATACAGAACACTGACGTTGAGTGGCTAAATATACAGAAGACTGGCGTTGAGTGGCTAAATATACAGAACACTGACATGGGTGGCTAAATATACAGAAAACTGACGTTGCGTGGCTAAATATACAGAAAACTGACGTTGCGTGGCTAAATATACAGAAAACTGACGTTGAGTGGCTAAATATACAGAAAACTGATATGGGTGGCTAAATATACAGAAAGCTGATATGGTTATCTTAAATATACAGAAAACTGACGTGGCGTTGGGTGGCTAAATATACAGAAACCTGACATGGGTGGCTAAATATACAGAAACCTGACATGGGTGGCTAAATATACAGAAAACTGGCATGGTTGTCTCTATACAACGAACTGGAAAAGGTTGTTTGTATATGCAGAGAACTGGAAACGGTAATGCATGATCGCGTCTGGCAGATATCTATCTAAACTTGAATGTGCACGGTCGCGTAAATCCATTAGGAGAGAATAAATGTAAGGCAGCGTGGTGAAATCAGGCGCTCATCAAAATAATTGAGTCAAGAAACTGATATTATCCCGCATCCTCGAAAATTTTGTAGAATTTTCGTTTGTTTGCTCAACACCTTTCATGCCCATTAAAAGAAAACATTTTTGTGTGGATTTTTACCTAAAAACTTAGAATAAAGGCACCAAAAATGGTAAATTTTCACTTTTCACGGATTCTCAAGCTAAGGAAATAGTTAATTTTCTTATTCATTTTACCCGTGAAACTAGGTGACCCCCACCTCCTTCATTTGCAAATATCTTGACTTCTATTCAAGATAAACGGATATTTTTTCCACCCAAAGCAAGAAAAATGGACAAGCTTTATGATGAGACCGATAACTCTACATGCTCAAAAATTGACGAGCGCCTGATTCCTGCGCATCGTGACACAAATGTTCAATCCAAGAAACATCAGGGGGAACGGTATTTAATGGGAAAATCAATAACACGGGGAGTGAAAGGGGTTGAG